GGGGAGCAGTGAGGGGTGACCAGACTGGTGGGAGAGAGGGGCAGTTGGGGGCGGCCAGGATGGCAGAGGGAGCAGTTGGGGGCAAACATGCCATCAGGGGGCAATAAGGGGCAACAGGGCCAGCAGGGGTGGGGGCAGTTAAGGGTGACAAGGCCAGCAGTGGAGGGCAGTTGGAGACGACCAGGCCCGCAGGGGCGGGGACAGTAAGGGGCAATCAGGCAAACAGGCAGGTGAGCAGTTAGGAGCCATCAGTCCCAGATTGTGAGAAGGATCCCAGATTGGAGAGGGTACAGGCTGGGCTGAGGGAACCCCTGTCCCTCATGCACAAATTTCATGCACCGGGCCTCTAGTTCTGTAATAAAAGGAACTAGGGCTCCCTGGAGAAAGGGCTAATTCTACGGATCGGACACTTTAAGATGAACCTGGAGCCTCTTATATTTCCAAAAGTAAGAAACTGGTAAAAACAATCAAACAAGCCCACACTGATTGGGTATACCAAAGGAGCCAGCCAAAGCTAGAACAACTTGAGCAACAAGGCACAGCAGTATTGGATTACAACCCAAGGTATGAATAAATATCCCTTGAGTCCTCACAGATATGAATAAATGGGTGAGTAAATTACTAAATAGGAGAGAAAAGACAAAGAATGCCAAATAACTTATACAGATACTTCACCCTAAAGGAGAGGAAGAAGAACAGAGACCTCCTTCCAAAGAGGCCAGTGTGGAAGGGAGGAGAAAAGAGAGAATTACACAGTACAGAAACCTGACAAATGCTATTCAGCCCATTGATCAACACCAACAGTCTTACATCAAGTTCATAGTATATACCCAAAATATGATATGACAATGGGAATTTACATCAGACAAATTGCAATACAGGGAAATTCTACACCTGACGAGGACTCCTGGAAACTGTTGGTCATCAAAAGCAAAGGAAGTCTGAGAAAACATCACAGCCAACAGGGACCTAATGAAACAATCACAGCTAAGTGTAATAGGAGATCCTGGAACAAAAAGATATTAGGGAAAACTAAGAAAACCTGGATAAAGTATAGATTTTCATTAATAATGTATCAATATGGATTCATTAATTGAAATGAATATAACAAACTAAGATACGATGTTAATAATCAGGGAAACAAGATATAAGGTATATTGAAATTCTTATACTAGCTCCATAATCTTTCTGTGAGTCTACAATTACTCTCAAAAATAAAGTCCATTAAAATTTTTTTTAAAAATTAACAGATCACAATAGCCAAAAAAGTAAACTCAGAACACATGTACTACTGGTATACAAAACAGGGAATATTAGAAATTTATGTCTAACGGATAGACTTTTGAACAAAGTGATGCTAGAACTACTAGCTGTTCACGTGGGGAATTACATTGCTGCCTCACGTTACATACAAATTATAGTTGGACTAAAATTCCAAATGTGCAAATCCATTTTTTTTAATTATTAAAGAAAAGTTTGGTATGATCTTCATGAAAAGAAAGGTCATCGTAAGCAAAAAAGCATTAACCATACAGAAAAGATTGATTTGTCTACATAAAAATTGATTTGTCTACATAAAAATCTTCTACAAAAGAAATGATACTATTTAAGAAAGAAAAAAATAGGATAAATGACTGGCCATAAGAAATGGTGTTCAACCTATTAAAAGATTAAAATATAGTATACAAATAGAGAAATTCTAAAAAATAAATAAGAAAATGATAAGCCAATAGAAAAATGGGGAAAGGATATGATATGAATAGTAATAAATGGCCATTAAACACAGAGGAATAAATGGCCATTAAACAAATGGATACCATGTTTCCCCCATCAAATTGGTTAAAAAAAAAAAAAAATTATAAAAACTGATAACACAGAATCTTGGCAAGCATGTGGAGAAAGTATATATTTTTTTCTTTTTTTATTGAATGTTTTGGGAAGTGGTTAATATATTTTTATATGTTTCAGGGACACAATCTATAGCATTGTGTGTTCACCACCCTAAATCCAGTCTCGTTCCCTCACCATTTATCCCCACTTTAGCCTCCTCCAACTCAGGGGAAAGGATCTTTAATGCAGTCCATGGATTAAGTGGTTTAATCACTCTAAAATATTATTTGACAGCATCTATTAAACATGCACATCTTTTCTACAAAAATATTAGAAAAGGACCAAAACCAGGGTTTTCATTACTGGTGCTCTATATTGTGATACTATGGAAAACAATGCATTATTAGCCTAAAAGAATGAGGCAGATATATAGATGTCTGTAGAGGCAGATATATGGATAGACAGACACACACCCCTCCCAGAAATACCTCTCCAAGATACATTACTTGGTATAGAAGTAAAGTTATGGAACAATCCATAGAGAACAATAGAATCTGTGATTTAAACATAAAGGAAAAAGTACATAAAACCACACACTTTAACAGAAAATGAGACTAGGGGAAGGGTGCATGGTCGGAATTCCTTTCCTTTTTCATCTAGGCATCTTTGATGAGAAAGTTTTTATGTATTACTCGTAGAATTCAAAATTGTTTTGCTTAGTAAACTAAGCGAAGGAAGGAGAGGGAAAAATGGTAGAAGTTTCATGCTGACAGCATTTTCCTACATGTGTAGTGTTGCATTGTTAGTCAGGTGACACTCTCCTGCCACAGGGGCATCTGCCCTGGAGTTAAGCTCACCACTGCTGCTCCCCCAGAGGCCTGATATGGGAACAACAGCAACGACATTGCTAAGCATCACTGCTTATGGCACACATGGCCCCTGACTGCTTCACAGAAACTACAAGGAAACCATCACCAGCTGATGGGTACACCATACCTTGGGTTTCCCTAAATGTAGTGTGACTCTTGGAACAGGCATGTTTTTTCTGCCTGACTCAAACCTTGTTGAGATGCACAGGTCAAAAATACCACAAAGCCAGCAGTGAGTCACATCAGTATCTTAAATTTGCACCAAGTGAGCCAACTATGTGTGGAAAAATCCTTTAAAATCCTTAATAGCCTATGTTCTTTTTCATGACTGACACCCAAACTGCCTCATAAACTATATAAATACTCCATTTTAGTCATTCCCTGAGTTAATGTAAGCAACACTATTTTGCATTCAATTAAGCTAACGCATTTTGGTGACTATCAAAGCATAAAACTTAAATTCATTACACAACTGTAGTAAATGTCTGATTCATATACATTTTATCTATAATTTCTCAAACCACTATGGAAAGTTAAATCATTCACTTTATATAGTGCAACATAATGTGGGACTATGTAAAAAGCGAAGGAAAAAAGAATTTTCCGAAGAAGCTGGCTTTCGAGTTATGTCTTGAAAAAAAACTATTTTTATGTAATTTAAAAATCAAAATCACTTCCTAAGAAAAACTAATCCTCAGTATAAATCACGGTCGGGAAAAAAATCCTTCTTCATGGATAAAAAGGAGACAAAACTTGCCCAAATATAAATGTAAATATGCTCTAAATAGCAAAAGTGGTATTTGCAAGTAGTACAGATGAAAATGCCAAATACAACACAAAACCAAATTCGTGACTCAGCTTTATAAATACGGCGGTGCCAGTAGCTGTCCAGTGTGAGATAGCTATTTCACCGGGTTACAGAATGGCATTAACAGAACCGGATTCAGTCTGTTCGGTGTGACACACAGAACTTTCTTGTTAGTCACATTCCAAGACACCACTTCTTTTGATGGGTCTTCAAAATACACAGCGGAGCTCCTCAACCCACTCACATTCTGTTTCAAAGTTTTGGGGAGGGTCCGGAATCTGCATTTTTTTAAAGAACTGATTCTGGAGAATCCCAGGAAAGGACTTCACAGGGGCATTGACCCCGCCTCACCCCCTCCTTCCTGAATCAGGGCAGAAGCAGGGGATTTCACATGTATATATAAGCACGAGTTTTTCCCCTTTCCTGTTACTCTTCATTCTAAGTATCACCAAGTCTTACAACTGATAATAATTAAATCCTTTAATATATATTTGAATAGTTTTTAACTCTGGTTACAGAAAGAAAGAAAATATAAGAATGAGAAAGGGATAATGTTTTGTTTTTTAAAGGAAAAAAAAAAGTGAGAAGTCTGAAGCAAGTATGGCAAAAAAGTTTATATCTGTTATTAAATCTGAGTGAAGGTTAATATGAATATGACTGGACAGCAGTCTCCCCCTTATCTGTGGTTTCACTTTCCACAGCCAACCAAGGTACAAAAAACTAAATGGAAAACTCCAGAAATAAGTAATTCATTCGTTTTAAATTGCCTGGTGTTCTGAGTACCCCCAATGAAATCTCGTGCCTTCCCCCTCTGTCCTGCTCGGGACATGAATCACCCCTGGTCCAGCGTCTCCCCGACGCAGATGCTCCCCACCGTTAGTCACTGAGCAGCCATCTCGGTTCCCAGAGTGACTGCCACAGCCTCACAGTGCTTATGTCCAAGTCACTCCAATTCTACTTAGTAATGCCACAGTCACTTAATTTTATTACAGTATATTGCTATAATTCTTCAGTTTTTTATTAGTCCTCGTTATTCAACGCTTAGTGTGCCTCGTTTATGAGTTAAGCTTTATCAAAGGTATGCATGTATAGGAAAAAACAGTACACATAGGGTTTGGTACTGCATGCAGTTTCAGGCAGCCAGTGGGTCTTGGAACATATCCTCCACAGGGACGGGGGTGACTGTTGTGTCTACCACACTTTTCTGTATGTTTAAAATACTTCATATTTTTTAAAGAAATGTAAATAACAGTATTCCAAGAGAAAGTACGAGCGGATCAGCATACGCCACCGCTACCTGGCAGCGGCAGCAGCCAATGCCCTTTGATAACTTGTACTATCTTGGAAGGCTACACCGATTTTTTATGCCCCTCGTCTTGTTTACAGAACAAGCATGACCTGCTTGCCCTTGCTTAACGCTACGCTGTTTTCCACTGTGAAAAGGAAGACTGAAGTGAAGACCGGAGGAAAGCGCCCTTCTTGGGCTCACATACCTGTGTCACTCCCTGGTCCTGTTGACAAGGCTGGCATGATGCAGGCTGCAGGCTGGACGCCGCACTCCGCACAAATGCTCTCCCACAGGGAATTCCAGCTCCACGGCGTGCAGCCACGCTGCCTACCAGGATTTATATATCGCACAGGCCGTCTCTACAAAGAATAGGAACAGTATAAAATAATAATAAAAACAAAGATTACTCAATGGCAACATTCTGTAACTAACTCATATACCAACATTCTTCAGGATTTCTCAGATTTTTTTCTACATGCTACATACAAATATTAAGTGTGAGAGTTTTTCATTTTGATGTGATATTTCTAATTAAAAATATGACCTTAAAAGATTTTTACTGTTAGTCTGAGGACTGCTGAATGCATAGATGGAGAAAGTAAAGAAGCTTCTTTAAGCCAATACCATTCTAAAATTCCTCCCCTCTGTTAATCATAATTCTAAGTTACATTTCTAATGTAGAACAGACACTATAAATTATCAACAACTTATAACTAATTGTAATTTTTAAAAAGAGTTCATCTTAATATAACAACTGCAGAGTTCTCTAACTTAGGGCTGCAAATAACCTTTGAAAAAAATACTAGAATTGAAGCAAGATGTTATTATAGATTTACAGAAGTGTTCATCAAAATAAGCCTAACAATCCAAGCTAATATACAAAAGTAAATTTGTTTATAAAAACTAAGCTTTGGTGTATCTTGGAAAATATCAATTTTCAATAAGTATTTTAACTAATGTTTATCCCAAATTAAACAGTATAAAGGTACCACTATATAGTAGCTAAGAGCAATTACTCTAGAGTGTAGCCTAGTCTCTAATCCTGTGAGCTCTGTGATCTAGGACAAGTCATTCAATCTTATTAATTCTTAAACTCCTTGTAGGCTAATGAAGATATCAGCAATTTAAAATTGTTTCATAATTAACAACTGGCATATAGCAAGCAAATGAAAAAAAATGCTGGCTATTATGATTGGAGTTATCTAATTCAGGTAATAAGATTATAAAATGTAAACATAAAAGAAAGAAGCAAGATTAAAATGTACATTGTCCTGACACCTAGGAGACATGTGTTTTAACTTTAGACCACTGCTCCTAATAAAGGAAAATACATTGCATTTACATTTTTTTAGAAATCAGAAGAACTAAACAATGTGTTTAAGTTCTTTTTTAATGGATTTTCCCCAGTTCTTTTAAATTCAGTAATTTAAAAGTCCATTTTAACATATATTATTAAAACAAAAACAAAAAACAGACATTGTAAACACTCAAAAACTGCCTCACTTCAATTCTAACGCTTTTAAATTGATGATTCATATTACAGAATAATAAGTGAGCTTGCCAAATTTCACTGGAAAAAAATCCAAACTGTAAAATTCTATTAAAGCTTTTTAAATTAGCTTTTTAATTATCAAAGTGAATGTTCATAGAAAAAAAAATCACCATCAAATAGACTACGTTAGACCAGACTGGCTATCTGGTGCAATGACTTGAATTTTGTTTGTTCTTATTACAAAGGTTGACAGAGTCAAAGAATGCAAATAAATCCACGTGGAGAGGAGTGTTAATTACAAATTAGGGCAATTATTTTAAATACCATATAAAAATATAAATCACAAAGCTAAAAATAAAAAATAAGTGAGAAAAAGCAAAGTTTCATTAATGGCCATCACTGACACTATTCCCCCCAATAATTAAAAGGCAACTCTTCTTTGCTTTTTATAAATTATTCTAACAATCAGGATAAAAATTCAACTACATAAAAACATTCCTAAATGCAAACACAAAGAGAGTAAAAAACAGACCATACATAATTTAAAGAATGCATTTAATTATTCTACTTTTGTTTTACTGCTGAGAAAAAAAAAGAGATGGTTAGAATTTGTAAAGTATATGCACACACATTTTTACAATTTGGATAATATATATGTTGTATGTGGGTAGGCAGTTATTATATGTATCTGTCTATAATTTCAGCTCTTTATGCCATGAGAAAAGTTCTAATTTGTAGGGTACAAATTGCTTCACTCCAGAAATACATATACCATGCAAATTACTACTTTCTTCACGCCTTAAAAAACTTATAATGTTTCACTTTTATAAACCACCATAGACACCATAAAATACCATATAAGCAAACATGCTTATATCAAACAAACCGACTATTAATACTAAGACATACTACGACAACCTTACATTCCACATCAAAATAACCTTCTGAGTTGATACTGCTGCTGTACATATATCCCATATGTGAAAAGCCTTAGCATTTCTCACTTTATTTCATAATGAACACTCAACGTTAAATTTTTCCAAAGTTATATTATTTAAGAAATGTATGCTACAAAGTAATTATCTTCTCAGAACATATATATAAGTATAATAAGAAATAGTTTGATGTAATACTACCACTAAAATGCTCAGTATTTTATAAAACAAAACAGAGTTGCTGGGTTTAACTTTCAAACTGAGCCTATCATGTAATTGTTGTTTTTTGCTAAATTTATTGAAAATGCATTGGAATTTGTCAGAACCCAGACATAATTATCACTGACTGTTGTATGGAATCAATTTTCTACAACGCAAAAATACCAGCTGTTATAGTATGTCCTGAGAGGGATTACGGAATATTCTTAAATTGAAGTTCAATCCATCTTTCCATAAAAAAGAGAGAGCCAGGAACATAGCGGTATAAAGTGCACCTGAAGCATTTACAATACCCAACAGAACTATTACAACCATCCTTTAAAAAGGCTTATTTTTGAAATTTCATTATTCCAGTTGTACCTTGCTTCTATATATCACACTGTATCAAGTTCTTCTGGCGTCTATCATGTGGAAACAGTGAAATATGTGAATGTCTACAAGCTTACAATGTCCGATTTCTACTGGCTCTGGGTACCCCTTGGGCTGCTGTGGCACTCGTGACATCTAGTGGTCAGTCACAGGAGTGCAAGTGTTTGTAGCAAAGTTTTCTGAGTTTTCAGTAAAGCAAAAATTATCTTAATTGCACCCAGTGAAATAGTCATCAGGAAAAAAAAAAAAATTAAATAGGCATACACACACTATTAAAGAAGCACATCCTCTGCTTGAGTGTCCCCTGTACCTGCAATACTCAATATACAAGACAACACTACTTCATTTCTGACACCAGAACTTGGTTTTTAAACATCAAGCAATTCTGTATCATCAGCCATTGCCCTAAAATTCAACTCAATTCTGACATTTTCTACCTGGAAAATGGCATCAGGTCCCACAGGTTACAGACTCAGTCTTACAGGATTGCTCTTCCCCCTTCCCATGTCAATACCAAGTCCAGGTTGTCACCTATGCTTCTATAATAATCCAGGGGTGGGGAACCATTTTTCTGCCAAGGGCTATTTGGATATTTATACCATCATTGGCTTAATATAATTCACTTAAAAATTTTTACGTTGCTATGAAAAAAGCTCCTTGAGGTTGCCTTGGCAGGGCCAGATCAAATAATGTCACAGGCCTAACATGACCCGGGGGGCCAGACATTACCCACTCCTATATCAATTAACAATAAATGAGAGGTGTCCGAAACCCCTTCCATCCTTGGGGTTGATTACTTCGCTAGAATCACTCAAAGAACTCAGGATAACATTTACTTAATAGATGGCCAGTTTGTTATAAAGAACACATTCAGGCATAACCAGAGGCCGAGATCCTTCCAGCAAGATATTTGGGACGAGGCCCTCTCTATCTCTGCACCTCCATACTTGCACAAACCCAGAAGCTCTCTGAACACTGTCCCTGTGCAACTTTATGAAGACTTCATTACATAAGTGTCACTGATTAATCATTGGTCATTGGCCATTGATTCAACCTCCAGGTCCTCCCCAGTGGGAGTGGAACTGAAAGTTCCAACCTTCTAATCAAGGTTGATTCCCTGACAATCAGCCTCCATCCTTAGAGGCTTCCCAAGAGCCACCTCAATAACATAAACTGGGGTGTAGTCATCTGCAAAAAAAGTGACATATGTATTTCCTCCTTCCCAATCTTGATGCCTTTTATTTCTTTCTCTTGCCTTATTGCTCTGGCAGAAACATCCACCACTATGTTGAATAAGAGTGATGAGCATGGGCATCCTTGTCTTGTTCCTGATCGTAGAGGAAAACGTTTCAGTGTTTCACCAATGAGTATGATATTAGCTGAGAGTTTATTGTGCATGGCCTTTATTATGTTGAGGTACTTTCCTTCTATTTTATAGTATTTTAATCATAAATAGAAGTTGTATTTTATCAAATGTTTTTCTGCATCTATTGGTAAGATCATATGACTTTTATCTATTGTTTTAATGTGGTGTGTTACATTGATCACTTTGTGTATGTTGAAGCATCCTTGTGCCCCTGAAATACAATAAATCCCACTTGATAGTAATGTGCTTTTGTATTCATTTGTTAGTATTTTGTTTAGAAATTTGGCATCTGTACTCATCAGAGATACTGCTCTGTAATTTTTGTGTGTGTGTTAGCTTTGCCAAATTTTAGTGTCAGAGTTATATTAATCTCATAATGTGTTAGGAAGTATTAACTCTTCAATTTTGTTTTTGAAGACTTCGAGAAGGATAGGTATCAAATCTTCTTTGAATGTTTGTAGAATTCACTGGTGAAGTCGTCTAGTCCTGGATTTATTTTTTGGGAGATTTTTTATGTCTATTTCAATTTCCTCACTGTTTATCAGTATATTTAGCTTTTCCAGTTCATGATTTAGTCTAGGAAGGATATAAATTTCTAGGAACTTACCCATTTATTATAGGTTATTGAATTTAGTGACATGTAGTCCTTCATTGTATTCTAGTTTGATACCTTGTATATCTGTGATGTCTGTGGAGCCTTTTAATTTCTGATTTTGTTTATATGGGTCTTTTCTCTTTTTTCCTTAGTGAGTCTAATCAAGGGGTTTGTTATTTTATTAATCTTTTTAAATAATCAGTTCTTTGTTGCATTATTTTTTATAAAATCGTTTTGTTCTCTTTTTCATTCAATTTGCTATAATTTTTATTTCCCTTCTGCTGACTTTGGATTGCTTTTGTTCTTCTTTTTCTAGTTCTTGTAGATATGTTAGTCTGTTTACTTGGGAGTGCTTGTTTCTTGAATTAGGCCTGTATTGAC